CACACACACACACACACACACACACACACACACACACACACACACACACACACATCATATTTGCATGGAATTGACAGTACAATTGGCTTGAATTCATTCTTTTCAGGGCAGGCCAGGTGAGTTTACAGAAAGGTGTTTAAGTGGAGAGGAAGCCAGAAGGTGCAGTTACACACAATGTAGGTGAAAAGTGAGCATAAACCATCTAAAACCAAAGAATTCTCCTACATATCAACTAGTCTCTCTTATTGTTTTAAACTACAGATCCATTTGAGTTAAATGTAAAATGGCTAATGATTTTTAGAGTAAATCTTTGGGAATTTTAAAATAACAACAGTTTTTAAGTTAAGACCATTAATGTGCACATGCCAAACCTAGGATCACTTATATATACTTGCTACTTATATATACTTACTATATATATCCATCCATCCATCATTCCATCATGCACACCCGCTTCTTCAAAGGGTTACTGGTGCCCATATTCAGCAGTCACTGTGCAAGGGGTGGACAGTTCACAAGTCCAATATATTAATTCACATATATAAAACACTATCAATGTAAAACAAAATTATTTATGGTTTTTCTTTTGATAGAATTTGTGTTTTTTAACTACTATTTTATGTGTGTATACTAGTCTGTAGTCTGTTACTGGTAATGGAGCAGTGTTCAGCGTAAAAGAACATAATTCAGTCTAAATAACCATCTAATGCAAAATTACAAGACATGTAAATAAGTACTTCTTTACACACTGACTTTAAGAGTTATTGTAAGATGTCAGTAATTCCCTTTGATCTTGTTCCCACTCTAACTATTAGCTCAACATCCCGGAGAGAACCTCAGCACGATATTTCAAACTAATAAGACTCTACAGGAATACTGATTACTAATAACTCTGTAAAGCACAATGAAAAAAAAAACAATTGAATTATTCCTTTAAGAAAAATCTGTGCTACTTTAACATAAATTTATTCTAATTCTAAAAGGGAAATTCTCACTATTAAACAATAGCATTTATATCATGCGCTTGTTAATCATGACTAGAATGTTCTAAATAAGTGACACTAAACCAGCTGCTGCAAGATGTCATGCTTTAAAAATGCAGTCTTCCCAACTTGGTTAACTTTCACTTTTGTCATTTACTAACATAGTTAGTGTACAGTTCCCAAGTTTATTAAGTTGAATATAATAAAAACCTTCTTGACCGACAGTGTTTTAAACCACCTAGCTTCTCTTCTGTTTTGATTTCAGAGTAGCCAGAGTTTCTTAGAATGTCATGATATTGCTGATCAAAGGTTTTTCTCTGTCAATATTTGTAGAGACTGGACCGAGAAATGCAGACAACCACAAGGAGCTTAAAGGAAAACTTAAAAAATATATACAATATTAAACAAAGGCTGACATGGCAGCAAAACCTACAAATTGAATGAAACAAGTAGACTGCCAGACTAAAAGAGGAGTGAAAATAGAGTAATTACATGAACAGGGGCTGATCAATAGAATGGAAACACCTGGGAAAAGTGGCACCGAACAGGTGAGAGTGGGTGGTATCAGATGGAACAGAGAAAACAAAAAATAAATTAAAAAAGCTAAAACAAACAGAAATCAACAAAAAACAAAAGCTGAGCTTGAGCTGAAAAGTAGCTGATAGTGTTGTCTTTAGGAAACACTGCAGCAAATACCTGTCACAGGAGCTCACCTGCCTTGACTCAGATATGAGCTTAAGTATCCCATTCCTAATTCATTCAATATAATGTCGGTCCACCCTTTGCACCTAGTACAGCTTCAACTCTTCTGGGAAGGCTGTTCACAAGGTGTAGGAGTGTGTTTATGGGGATTTTTGACCATTCTTCCAGAATTGCATTTGTGAGGTCATATACTAATGTTGGACAGAAGGCCTGGTTCTCAGTCTCCACTCTAATTCAGCCCAAAGGTGTTCTATCAGGTTGAGGTCAGGACTCTGTGCAGGCCAGTTAAGTTCATCCAGACCACACTCTGCCATCCATGTCTCTATGGACCTTACTTTGTGCACTGGTGCACAGTCATGTTGGAAGAGGAAGGGGCCAGATCCAAACTCTTCACACAAAGCTGGGAGAATGGAATTGTCCAAAATGTCTTGGTATGCTGAAGCATTCAGCGTTGTTTCACTGGCACGAAGAAGCAAAGTCCAGCTCCTGAAAAACAACCCCACACCATAATCCCCCCTCCACCAAACTTTACACTTGGCACAACGCAGTCAGACAAGTACCATCCTCCTGGCAACTGCCAAACCCAGACTCGTGCATCAGGTTGCCAGATGGAGACGTGCGATTTGTCCCTCCAGTTAATGCACCTCCACTGCTTTAAAGTCCAGTGGTGACGTGCTTTACACCACTGCATCTGACGCTTTGCATTGCACTTGGCGATGTATGGCTTTGATGCAGCTGCTCGACCATGGAAACCCATTCCATGAAGCTCTCTGCGCACTGTTCTTTAGCTAATCTGAAGGCCACATAAAGTTTGGAGGTCTGTAGGGATTGACTGCTGTCATTCCCAAACACTTCCACTTTCCTATAATACAGCTGGCAGCTGACTGTGGAATATTTAGGAGTGAGGAAATTTCATGACTGGATTTGATGCACAGGTGGCATCCTATCACAGTTCCACACTGAAATTCACTGAGTTCCTGAGAGCAACCTATTCTTTCACTAATGTTTGAAAAACAGTCTGCATGCTCTGGTGCTTAATTTTATACACCTGTGGCCATGGAAGTGATTGGAACACCTGATTCCGATAATTTGAATGGGTGAGCAAATACTTTTGGCTATAGCTGACAGTTCTTCATAAGCCACCTTTAACTGGCAAAATATATATTTTTTATTATTTATTACTTTATTC